GGAGTGGGAGAAATGAGAGGTGAATGGTGAGAAGGGTGAGCTTGTTGTGGTTGGAGAGAGGTGTCATGTCGTCGTTGGTCTTCCTGAAGTTCCTGCCAACGGCTCTGACACTGTTCAATAGAGAAGCCAACCCGGCGAGCAACGTAGTTCCAGTTGGGTCGTAGGCGGTTGTCCTTTTTTTAGCTCAATGAGCTTGAGATCAGCTTCACCGTCCCAATCGTCCCAGTTGGCATCGGAATTCAATGGAGGTGGTGGTTGGCGTTTCTTCTTGGGTGGCGGCGGCGCTGAAGGAGATGTGTCAGAAGAAGAATGGGTAGATCGAGGTGCTCGTCGGACAGGCTCAATGGGTGCTGAGTCACAAGAGGAAGTGGGTGAAAGAATGGGGACTGCAGAGGAAGGAGGTGCTGGTAGTGGAGGGAAGGTGCGTTGAAAGTTGGGATCGACCTGTCCTGTGTGGAGCAGGTATAAGTTGTGCAAGTTGGCAAGAATGTCTGTGGCTTGTTGGAGAAGGCGGTGTAACTGGGTAAGGGCGATCGTGGTGCGGTGGATCAGCTGCGCTGGTGTCGAACTGGGATGCATCTTGGATGATAGCTTGGATGATGAGTGCCAATGATGATGATAGTCAGCAGCAGCGGCTCCGCAGCGCGTCCCAGTGGCGGTGCAGCACAACATGCAGTGACGACACGAGCGTGCGTATGAATTAAATTGTGAATTGTTCGAGCATGAATTGTGCAGAGAATTCGGTCACAAAGAATAGTGTCCTCATGGGGGGCCCAGCGAAAATTCAAGATCCGAATCAAAAGGCCTGCAAAAACCATAGAGAAAGGAAACGGGGAGGTCTTTTGCTCAAAAACAAACATTGAGGTTACCGCATGAGCAAACTCTCGTGCAGAGATTCCCGCCCGGCAACATATCAACTGGACGGCGGTTCAATGAATTAGACCGGCTGCTCGCCCAGATTTTCCGCTGGAAGGTAGGTATGTGGCTGGAGTGAAACTGTGGCTGAGGTGGCGCTCAGGGTGTAGGTTGGCAGTGGAGGTGATCATGTGGTTGGTGTTGTTGCGTTGCACATGACTGACCAGGCAATGCCCTTGATAATGGCATTGTCGGGGTGAATCACCCAGGATTTTGCGTTGGCATGGTGTACAGCGCCATGGTGTTTTTGAAGCAATCGCATGGCGTGTTCTTCGCCACCGGTGGTGAACTTCGTGCCTTGGCCCCAGGCCAAAATGTTGAGGATTACTGAGTGAACGTTTTTTGATAAGTTCCAGGTGTTGTGAAGAATGCGCGCGTGTTCGGAGTTGTCGTGGTTGAGTTGGTGGGTGATGCGGACGCCCGCGGCCTTGTTGGAGGATGTTGGTGATGTTGCCACGAGGGCCTGTGTGCCCTGCGTTGAGGTGGAACATCTCGGGTGTGTTGGCTGTGGCACGGGTTGCAGGTGGAGGAAAGGTGCGGGTAGCTTTCTGAACGAGACTGGGAATGGTGAGGCAGTGGTATTGGTAGAGGTCGTATGTATTGGTGGAGTTGTTCCACTTGACGTGTGTGAATTGGCGAAAGTCGGAGATGTCTTTGTAAGTGAAACCGCTGTCGAGGAGGTTGTGGTTTGTTGGGTGAGCCAAACTGTTCGGCACGCCAATCAAGCCAATGTTCCAGTTGTTCTTGGGGTGTGTATTGCTGTAGCTGGGAGGTAGGGCGCCAATGTCGATCCGGTCGGCGCAAAGCTGGGATGGTGGGATATTCTGTCTGAGACAGGGCGGTGACAGCGTCTTGCTGTGTGGAGTCGTTGTTGGGACGAAGTGAAATGGGGTGTCTGGAGCGGCTGCGCGAGCGGCTGTCAGAGTAGGAATAGAAAGAGGAGGTGGAGGGAGAACGTGGGCGGCGGTGTCGTGATGAACGATGTCGGTGAGATGAGCTCTGCTTTTTGTTGGAGTGTGGTTGAGATTGTCTGGCGCTATGGCGTCTGGCGCGCCGTCCCCGGGTGTGATGACGACGGTGTGTGTGGCGAGAGTGGTGGTCCGAGCTCGCCTGCTTTGTGGGCGCTAGTGGTGGCGGAGCGGTGGCCGGCTGAGGTTGTTGTGGTTGTTGTTGGTGAGAGGTGGGTGGGTCGGCTTGTTGCTGTGATTCTGGCTGTGTGGGAGAGGTGATAGCTGAGGGTGGGGGTGGGCGCGGTTTGTCTGCAGGTTTGGAGGACGGGTGGTCTGCTGCAGGTTGGTTGGCCTGAGGTGAATGCACTGTGGTTGGTGAGGTTGGAAGGTCCGCTGTTGTTGTGTGGGGAGATGGTGATGGGTTTGCAGCTGCTGCGTGCTCTGGTGCAGCCTGGGATGTGTTGGAATTGGTCTGTGCTTGGGGCGGCGCCCCGGTGGTAGGGTGAACAACCGGTGGGAAGACGGAATATGGTTGCCAAACGCCTTGGCTGTAGTCCCAGGGAGGTGGGGTTGTTGGGCCGGGTGGTGATGAAGGATGTGGAACCTGAGTAGCAGGGTGCGGGTGTGGTGGCTGATGCTGGAGGACCAAGGTCGGTGGTTGTGATGGCAAAGGCTCTTGCTGCTGGATTGGGATTGGGATTGGGTATGCTTGGGGATGTGGTACTGGAAGAGTGAGTTGTAATGGAGGCTGAAATTGTGGCAAAGGTGTAGGTTGCCATGTTGGCTGAGGCATGTGATGTAGTGTCGGCATCATTTGTGGTTGAAGGGAAGGTGCAGCGGCGTGTGCCGGATGTATGGGGATTGTAGGAGCTGTGGGAGTTGGTGGCTGTTGGGGCCAATATGGATATGGCCACGGATATTGCGTTGTTGAATGTGAGGCCACTTCAAAAGCTCAGACAAAGTCGGACCGGCCGCGCAATGGCACCGGCGCGGGGCAGCGGCTAGCAATGATGCCTGCTGAAAAGGTGAAATGATGGTGAGGTGAACATTGGTGATGGTATTATCCATAATGGTATGAGATGAAGTGGCGTGAGATGATCCGCAATGTGATGACTTGTGAGAGGGTGATAGAAACGGAGAAAGACTTGAGATGACAATGAGGTGAAATGATATGAGTATGTGATACTGACGGTGGTAACTGTACATCCTTGAAAAGTCTGTGATTGGCTGCAAAAACACTCCAGCGTGAATCAAACCGTAACAACAAGCATCATGCATCAAGAAATCTGAAAGGTCAATGTTCTTCCATCGTATTAGCCCGGCGGCTCAATGTGCAGTAAATTCAGGGTAGATAAAGATCAAGGAAGGTGAATCAGTGCATGAGAAGAGTCAGTAACTCAATTTCCAGTATGAAAACAGCGCCTCCTTGCGGAGGATCACACCCAGCACCCATGTGGGACGGCTGAGCGGCTCACACTTCGACATTGGTTTTCAGTTAACTCAATTGCCTTGTCAAAAATGGTGAGGGAACGGCATGGCGAGTAAGTCGGTTCACTTGAAAGGTTGAACAAGTTGTTTGTGCGTGACTGCAGAGCTCAGCGGTGATGAACAAGCGGCTCAACTCAGCTGCAGAAAACCTAAAAACGTTTGTGGGGAGGAAACATGAAGAACCATGGAAGCAAACAAGATCAATTGGACAGCTTGTGCAACCGTTGACGCAGGTACACATCCATGGCCAGTGGATGCTTCCCTCTCTGATGCATAGCTTCGTTGGACAGAGTAGCATCAGAGAGCTCTGTCCCCCTGCGATGATCAGCTGGCAGAAAAAACCCTTCGAAACAGGGGTTGACGCACACACAGACACACACACTTTGGGGCCGTTTAGCCTGAGCTCCGAATGCACACGGGCGCGTTTACATCATGCATGGCGTCCGTCCCAACATGGCCAGCCAATGGGCCCGGCATGGTCCAGTCGTGTGCATTTGCGCGCAAACCCCTCCCCATCGAAGGAACGATCGGCGTGCAGAGCGTGCTCAGTCAAACCACTTCGCGGTGGTTCAAGTAGCAGTATATAGCGCTCAGTAGCAGTCTCATCGGTGATGAGTTGGATCAAGTTAGACCTCTGACCTATCCCTCACTCTTATAAGTTGACGCAGGTGTCCCAGGAGGCGTGACTCAACACATGCAAATCTATCACCACCTATCAGACCTGTGCATGCGAGGAAGAGGGCCAGCTCAGCACCAGCTCTGAGGATACCCGTGCCCTGTGTCAAAGACTTTGGCGCAAGAACAGTGCCCTGCACTTTCTCCACCCAGATCCGCACACCTGCGAATAGAAGCTGTGAACTGGGTAACTCACCATCACGAACTTCAGGGGTTCCAGCGTCACGGGAGCCAGGCCTGCACTGTCCCGTCCGTGCACTGGTCATGACAGGGACCGTGACCAACACTTCACTAAGCTCCGCGGCACGGTCGAGGTCAGTCCCTCGCAAAATGCGTTCTTGGTGGCTCCAGTGTCTCTGCAACCGCTTCAATCGTTACTGCAAAGTCGCATCACCAATTATTGAAAGGCTGCCAAATCGAAGGTCCTCCTTTTCCCTTCACACGACCTTTATTGAAGTATTGACCCTCAGCTTTGTAAGACATCAGGAAAATCAATAAAACTATATATACACATACATATAAACATATATTACAAACTGTATATATGTTTAAGGGTTTTGAAAGCGCACAAGTCAGCCCCAAAGGCTAGCTGCTAGCTTTTGGACTTACACGCCCTAACACAATCAGACCTAGACCTAGCGGTTGCAAGCTGCAATAAATTAGAGAACAGATTTTAAAATGATTTAACATGGGCGCTGACTGATTCAAGCCCGAATCTGGCGACAAAGAACAATAGAGACTTGGCATATCTTGGAGTTGGTGGGACCAAACAACACCCACATTCATCATTCATGTATGTTTTTTGCGCATGAGGGAAGAACAGTCCAACTACCCGGCGACCCTCCCGGACTTGGGCGACGATCAGATGCAGAAACCCACAAGAAGGAGCGGCTTCACTAAATTCATATTGGATGATGCACTTCCTTAAAAAATGAACACCCAAAAAATGAATCCAGCTTGTCGCTGAGCATCCTCAGAGATCTTCCGCATGCTGCAAGCATGGTCGATTTCAGTCAGAACCACATCTGGCATCAAGATTCCATGATCCTGCACGGATCTACTGAATCGCTGGGCCAGGACATTCGCATCCTGTTCGCAGGACTCTGTACCCAAGGCTCCCTTGTAGCCACCAAGTCTTCGCGTCAAATATCTGTTTGCCAGCTCGAACAGCAACGTGCGCGGCGATTGTTCCTCTGAGCTTCGGTTGATTGTTTCTTCTTCTTCTTCTTCTTCTTCTTCTTCTTCTAAATCTATGTCCTGCTCACCAGATTGAAACTGATCATCAGACTGGGCCTCATGATCCAATGTAGGTAAGCTGGGGCACGGGCCATTGCGCAAACTGACGAAGCGAGCCCCGTCAGCCCCCCAAAGACACAGTTTGTCAGGATGCGAACGCACCAGCGCCGTCAACTTGCCATATTTCTGTAGTTTTGGAGCTGGACGCAAAAGTTCTTTCAGAAATACTCCAAGCATACCGCAGTCCATCCGGCCCGTCTCGAGCTGCTGCAAATGGCACACTATACAAAAAACTACGAACTCTTCCACGTTTGTAATGCTCACCGTCTGGAAGTCATCCTGCTCGCCCTCCTGTCATCTCAGAGGTCACAACTTGAAGTCAATCGACGTTCCTTGCACTTTGGTCAACTTGACAATCCTCAAAATTCAAACCCAACCAGGAATGCTTTGCGTCAGCCCGTCTCCTTGGAAAGGAATCTCAAAGTGTTAAGAACTTGGTCGGGGGATTTATTTTCCTGCGTGCAAAACTCTTCGAAGTCGCTGAGCGGCAACCTGCTGTCATGCACAGATTCAGGGTCAAGTGTACCATTTCAGGCGTGACACGTTACATCAACTGCATAGCATCTTCTGAGACTTGTCGTCGGGACCAAGACTGATAACAGATTCCGACAGTAAAACAAGTTTTACGTTCCCTTGTGTTTCGCAGCATTGCCCGTAGCTGCTCCAGCAAGCAGCAAATCCACCAGCCCACTGTGCAGGGAGACCAAGTTTAAACAAAAACAACATGATTAGAACGTGATATATATACCTGAGAAGGGGGGGGGGCGAAAGCCAGCAGCCGCCAGACGAGTGTCTCTTTTTCTGGCGGGCGGCGCGGCACAAGACACATGGTCGGCAGCTTGCGAGTCAGCGGTGCCGTGGATGCGGGGGGGCGAATGTAATGGTGATGGAGGGAGAAGAGAAGCAAGCCGGGCGGCTTTGGGATAAGTTTGGTATGCAAGAAGTAGTGAAAAGGAAATGCGATACGTTGTATGTTGGTGTAGGTCATCATCACCAAAGCAATGGCATGTGTTTTTTGTCACATTCAGGAAGGTATGCGTCTTGTGGAAGTGGGAAGGACATCAGCGTTAGCGAAGGGGAAATACCGTCTGAGTTCGGGTGGTGGGATACCGCGCGCGCGCGCGGTGCGCGCGAGTACAGCATGCGTTTGAAAATTGTGTTTGTTACATTTGGAATGTTTGAAGTTTGCAACGCATACTGCGGCGCGTCGAAAAGCGGCAGTCGTTGATTTGGAAGAGTGAACGGGCACGTCTTAGCCGGGACACGGACGTTTGATCCCGCGGTGCAGAAGGTGAGGTCCAGCGAAATTAGCTTGGGCTAGCAAAGAGGTGAGGATTTGTGTGAATGCCTGGACTTGAGTGAGTCATGTTCTGGCTCGATCCAAAACACAGTCCTTCTCCTTTGAAGGGGCCTTTATTAAACGATTCAAACACATTCTTTATTCTCCTCTTTCTTATCAACTCTGCGCCTTTCTCACTCAGAGGCCTTGACTTTGGCACCTGCGTGTGTAGATCTTTGGGCCGTGGACCCAGGCTGACTGGATTCAGCCAGCAAAAAGGCGACGTCATGAGTCTGTAGTATATAGAATTTATCTGTCTATCTATCTATCTGCACTGGCAAGCCGGAAAAACGTTCGGTGCGTGTGGACGCCGCGAGAAGCATCCACTCGACCGAGGACATGTGCAAGTATAGATTTTGCTAGGGGGCAGGAACCTTATGCGGATATGTAGTCAACCTCGCAGGCATCCCCACAGAAACTCAATCCAAATTCATGGGCTTGAGCTCATGTCACCTTCGGTTCTCTATGGATTTCGCAAGTTACGGGTTGTCCTGGGAACTCGTATCCTACATGCGGCCTGCTCTGTACATCATTCCCTGTCTCCACTCGATTGCTCAATGCCCATTGTCCAAATAGCCTCCAAAGCCCTTCGTGATGCTAATGATGCACCACTCGGCGTCCATTACATCACCCGCATCACCAAACCCCATGTTCACTGCTTTCTGACCCTCGCTTTGGAGCGCTCTCCCCCACGAAGCTCTTCGTTCACCCTATCAAAAGGTCCTCCTCAGCGACCCCCCCCCCACACACCCCCTTGGCTCACTTCGTTCGCCCTAAAAGCTCAAGCCTAGCCTATCGGCTGGCTTTCGTAATATATATATATATATATGTACATATATATATATATAAAGACTCAGGCCCTCAGCGCTCTGTTTTGCTTTGCAAGGTCGAGTTTGTTAGAATTACTAAAGAATCAAATCATTCAAGAAAAATGAGGGTTAAAACATCACTTCTCTTCCCTTCCCTGGGATAGAACCCCCCTGGGAACTGCCGCCAAACCAGGCAAGAACCCAGCCCGAGGGTTGGTACAAACTGCCCTAAGTCTCTCCGGCAAACCGGAGAAAGAAAAAGGCCCACAGTTTGTTTGCAAACTATTCCCACTCACCGCGCGTCTCACTCCGACCGCTCATTTTTTGAAGTCTTTCTGCTCTTCTTCTTCCTTCCATCTCCCAATACCCACAAAGGGAGGGAGAGGTGGGGCTGACAGCCAACGCTCGAGAAACAGAAGCTCAACCGGTCCTATCATCTTTAATTACGGGGCCGAAATTACAAAGACTCAGGCCCCAAGGCGCCTGGCCCCACTTTCGCTGCAAGCTGAGTCCTTGCACTCTCCTGAAACAGCCCATCCAGCTCCTCCTCTGCCAGCTCCCCCATGGACTCGTCTGAATCCGTGGAGCTGGACCCCTTGGATCGCTTCTTTAGGGCCTTCTTGGCCAACTTTGACACTTTCCTTCTGATCTTGGCGTCCTTGTCGAGACCTGTCCCGTCGAAGAGGCTTCCATAGTCCTTCTTTCCCTTCACCTTGAAGATCTTCCTCTTCTTCTTGTGCTTCTTCTTCTTTCTCGAATCGCTGCTGTCGCTCGACTCCTTCTCCTCCTCTTTCTCGCCTGGCGTAGGGGCCACCTCGGCCGGGGCTGCGGGGACTCCTCCACCCGCTCGAGCTGCTGCATCGGATCTCTCCGCGAGCCTCCTGAGCTCCTCCATGCCACTTGCCCCCTTCAAGTTGTCTACCCATCCTGGGTCACCAGCACTCCGGCGTTGAAGCTTCTTGAGATGGATCAACTCGTCAGACTCAGGGGTACCAGGACAATCAGCAGGGCAAAGATGAAGTCGAACTTTAGGTCTCTCCTGGCCGGTCAGCCACCTGAGAAATCCCTCATCCTCCGTTCCGCTGAGGTGACACACGACCTCCAGAGCTCCACCCTGTATCTGCACACCCTCAACCTCAAAGGCCAGGCTGACGTCACGCCCCCAGGCTTGCCTTCTCCCAGGAGTCGAAGTCCAGGGACCAAGACTCCCACTGGGAGGCTATGCGCGTCAACGGCTCCTCCGTCCTCAAAACCTGCAACTCTCTCGTCGGCAGCTGCAGGTCGAAGCCGAACCTCTCGCTCTCCACGGCCAGCTCCTGCAGGATCCTCTCTTCTCCTCAGCGCCGGTCGTCTGTCTCCCACCGCAGGCCTCCTCAACGGCCGGGGAGGCATCTAACGACCCTTCTTCTTTTCTGCTTTTCGCCAAGCGACGTACTCCTTGGAGGTCTTCTGCAATTCTTTCTTTTTCAGCCCTTTGTTTGTTCCTGAATCCTCCTTGTGGGTTGGCTTGGGCTTCAAGCTCAAGTTGTTCCTTCCGCTGGGAATGGGTCCCTTCCAGTGGGGTGGCGGCCTGGAAGGCGATCTCGGCCTCCTGACCTCCTCTAGCCGCAACTCGGGCCTGCTGGCCGCTGCTTTCGGTGTACTTGACGCTGACCTTTCTGGTTCCTCTCTCTCCTTCTTCGGGACCTGGATCGATGGCGATGTCTCCTCTTCTTAGGAGTCGGATTGTCCTCCTTGACCTCCTCTGGGACCTCACGGCTACGAGATGTACTGACCACCTCCCTCACGCCCGGGTCCTCGTCCTTCTTGTCGTCGAGGCTGTAGTCTGCTGCTTCCTCTTCTCTCTTGACCTCAACCTCTGGCTTGGGTGATTCTCGGCGATCTCGATCTCGTGGAGCTGACCTTTCTTCTGCAGCCGGTGTACCTGTCTCTTTCTCACGATCTGCCTTTCGCTCACTGGGTCTGGCTGAACGTCCTCGATCTCCCTGAAACACTGGCCTTGCTGGGTGAGTTGTTGATGCCCGGGGTTCCTTTGCTTGTTCTCGATGCGCTGACTCGGATGCCTTCTCCTTTGATGCCTCAGCCGGTTTCTCTTCGCGGCTACCTTCTCCACCAGGAAGTGCTGCTCCTCCTCCAGGGCGGCCTCCCGCTTTGCCCCCAGTCACAGGAGGAGGGTGTGCTGGACCCTCCCTTTCCTGTGGCCTGTGAGCGTCCAAGAAATCCTCTAGTTCTCCCAGAAGATTTCTGACCTTGATCGTCGCGTAGCCGACGAAGAGGTCCGGTTCCACACGTGTGCCCTCTATCACAAGACGACACACGCGGCGGAGCGAGGGGCACAGCGGTACAGTTGCACGTTGTGCTGTGCCCCCACATTGACTGCTGAGAGCCAACGCTGCGAGAAACAGAAGCTCAACCGGTCCTATCATCTTTAATTACGGGGCCGAAATTACATATAGTTTCTGCAGCAATGCCCTTCCCCGTGGCAGCAGCGCCCTCCTCTCCAGATCACCAGCTTTGAGCTCTCCAATAAGAACCTCATAGAACCTCCATAGTTAGAGCCGAGCTATCCTTCACACTTGGAGTCATCTAATTACTTGGGAAAAAATGCATGGCAATGCACTAACTGGCGATGCGCCACACCCATCTTCATTCAGCTCTTGAATTTATATAACTGTAAGGTGCTCCAACGACATGTCTGCCGTACAAACGCAGCTGTCGTCTTGTTGTGGCTCCATCCATATTTGAACACAATTGATTGCAATTCATGGCCCCTGACGCACCATGTGTTCATCCACCACCATGACCCAGATTGAATCCTGCAAAATTGCACTTGGCCCCAAAAAGGAAATGCCATCCGGTATGGCAGGGCGATCAATCCGCTGTGGCCTGCCAGCATCTTTCCCCTTGTTGATCATGTACTGCACCACCGAAAAATAGGCTTGCTCTTCTTGCGGTTTCTTTGGCTGCGTCCTTGTCTCAAGGTTTCTACTGTTCATCGCAGAAGCAAATACGCACTGACTAAAATGCCATGGAGTTCCAATGTGGGCATTGCTTGAACTAAAGAGCAGAATGTTACGCAAGTCGCATCGAAAGAATTCACGGTGAGCCTATCTGGCAAGCATGACAATATGGAATCAATGGAGTCAATGGAGGCTCCTGAAAGGTGCATACAAGGTGCTGCTCAAGGGGATCTTCACTGCTGGGCCCGTTGACGCTGCCATCTTTGATGCTGCATCGCCAAACCCGCTGCGGCCTGATTGCAAGCTGAAATGCAAGTTGAACCTCTTGTGCACAGCAAAAGCGAAATTTCCGAATAGAACCTCGCCTAATTACATGAAGAGTTGGGAAAAAAAACCATGAACACAACTGTCTTCCTTTTTTGCCATTCCAGCGGGTGCCTTTTGAGCCTTCGGATCCAGTGCCCTCGCAGGGCCGCTGCCATCAGAACGGAGTGTGCGAGCTTGGCATGTCGTCGCCCAAGGCCATGCGCGCCGCCAATGTCCTTGCAACAGTTCGGTCAACATCTGCTTCTAGCATCCTCTAGCAACGGAGGCATAAACAAACACGGATCAGCAATGCAGGATGCTGTTCTGTCCTGCGACTGCACACGGGCCTTTAGCAAGCCTGTTCGATGAGAACAAGGGTCGACGCAGCTCCAAGTAGATGCCCGCATGTCTACTCGAAGAGCACAGTCTTAATCTCATGCGTCCTTTTTGCATGTCAGTTTAGCATATGAAGGTGGCTCACATCACTCCAGCCCTGAACAAAACAACCTCCATGACACGTCTTGTAGTCCTGCTAGGTCGTCAGTAAGACAACAATTGTCATCGTAACATGCCCCCCATGGCGCGCATCTATGATAACTGAACCGCGATCTGCTTCCCTGCTGCCTTGAGATCTGATAGCAAACGGAATGGTTGATTGCACACTGCTGCAAGTCTCAACATGTTCTTGCCCCATGTGCCCATAGCCAGTGCTTCCAGTTGCCTCCTCCATTTGTGCCCCCCCAAAATGTATATATATATATAATTACATGGAATGTTCAAAGGACCACTGAATTTGGAATTGGTGCGTGCCTGTTTTGCTCAGAGTTGCGCTTCCTGACAATTCCTACATGGCTGGCCAAAATTAGTAAAAACATGTAAAGGCCCTGGTGTCCATTGCCAGAATTGACATGCGCCCAACCAGCCACATTGATTCTGTCAAGGGTCATTAGGAGAGCGTGCCTGCACAATGGAACCGTACCTTGCCAACCATTCGCAGTTGCCTTTGCAAGCCTTCGCAACAAGCACTTCTGCGCAAAGGGCGCCTTCCCACCTAAGCCTGAGCACATGGTCATGTGACGTGTGGGATTTTCAGCTTGCGCCAAACCATGCCAAACCAAATCAAGCCAAGACAAGGGTACTGACTTCGTACAAACATCGCTTGGCCTTCATTGGGTCAAGGCAATTTGCCCCTGAGTGTTTGCTTGCGCTTTACTCGCAGTTCACTTGGTCGAGCATCGAGGGTTTCAGACTCCATTGATATATACCCCGGATATTTCTGGAGAACTTTGGTTTAGTACTTTGGCTTTGGAGTTTCACACGCTTGGATACGACCAGCGGGGGTTTTGACAGGTCGACAAGGGTGGGACGCGTCGCACCTGGCATGACATGATGTCATCCCTGGCATGACATGACGCCACCCCTGGCATGACATGATGCCATCCCTGGCATGCCATGATGTCATCCCAGCACCTGCACCAGCACTCGCAAAACCAGAACGCCGAACCCCAGCCAGCACCTGCACCAGCATCAGTACGGCAGCAGCACCCGCAAAACAAAAATGCCGATCCAAAGCCAGCACCTGCACCAGCACCCACAAAACAAAAACGCCGATCCAAAGTCACACCATTGAGAAGTTAAAACCCCTATAGCCTGCAGGTATCTGGGGAATAAACACGAATGATTTCGTGAGAGCGCTCTTCCAGGAAGCTTGTCTCGATCACAGGCTCCAGGAAAAATGACACTCGGAGAGTTTTCTGAGTTTGGAGAGTTCGCAGAATTTTTGGATATTTTTGGCAAATGCATCAAGTTCGCTCAAACAACAAAAGCACTTATAGAACTTATATACTTCCCCAAACTTAACTAATTACAGAGCTGACAAAGCTTTCCTATCACCAATTCGGGAGGGATCTCTAACAACACGGGATATGTCCAACTTCCTGACTTCCTGTTTCACTTGCTGAAGAAATCGACCCCTGAAGAATCTTATGAACAAACCTCTGACCTTGGAGAATCCTCCGTCGCTCCTTTTTCGCTGCGCTTTGTCGATGTCATTCGGTCTTCATGACGTCGCAGAAATCAAGACCAGGAGAACTGAGGAATTCTGAAGTCCTTCACTTCGTTTCACCTCAACACGTTTCAATGTATGTTTAAATTATGTTAAATTGATATGTTAGGTGCAAAGTGAGCCTTGTGTAGAAGAGAAAGAATCAAAAGTAATATGTTGGAGGCCCAGCCTACCCTCCTCACCCGAAGAGCTCAAACCAGCTTACAAATCTTACAATAGAGCAGATTCGTCAGGCGTGGTGACTGAGGTGCTGGCTGCATGCCAAGTGCAAGCAACTTCCACGTCTGGGTCCTCCAGCACAGCGTTGCGAAAACGTGCGCCCATGCAAAAACACTGCGCGCGCGAACACACACTGAAGGACCCTTGAAGAACACCGGGCCTTCACCCTAAAAAATACCACACGAAATGTAAGGACCTCTTACAGCAACTGTTTGATGACAAGGGTTGTTGTATGCTGTAGGGATCAGTCCCATTCAACCCCTCCTCCTGATTTCCCATGGCGGTACGTCCAAGGGCATCAGCGGGCGGGACATCATGACTCAGAATTAAATCATATGCTTTGAAAACAGTTGCACTATGGGGTAATTCTGCTATGCTGACTTAACATGACTTAACTAACTCAATGGTGCGATTTTACGGCCGTACGTTTGGCACTTGTAGTGTTAAAGGGTAACTGAATGCCATGGTTTTCTGGGAGATGCGCTGCCGGTTATTAAATTTGAGAATGACTAATGCAATGACTAATGCTCCTTGAATCTATGTAATCTATTTATCTTTATTTATCATCATTTGGCTACACCACTGCCTGAACAAAGATCAGCAGCTGTACCGCCGAAGCAGACCAAGAGCAAGTCTTTCCACGCTGAAATGACCAGGCAAAACCAAGACAAGGTGGTGTTCTCTGTTCTTTCATGTTCATTCTAAACGAGTTAGAAGCTCAGCTGCTCAAATCCACCCAGACTGGGAGATCTGCGTGTGGTGGACTTGACAAGGCGCAAGGTGGTGGCAACCGCCAATGGCCACCAATGCAAAGGCTTTCATCACGCCCTCCGAACATGACAGAACCGTGCACAAGAAGCTAAGGGTGCACTCTGCCCATCAGCAGAAGCACACAGCCGAGCTTCAGGTAGCACATAGCAATTTAAAATCAATTGAGCAGCCACCACACCCCTCAAACAATGTTTACTTCTGTTTACCATCCACAGTGGTAGATCCTCTATCACTGGCAGTCTCATCCTGAACAAGCTTCTTTCTAACAAATATATGTTGTACTTCTCTATATCGGGGGTTGGCCAACATGACTGAATTTGGTATATGTTCGACCAGCCGACAAGATTGTATCTCTTCTCGCCACTAGCAATACATGAGGAGCCTCACCTCGCCATCTCTCACTGCTCTGGCCACATTGGGCCAGATGCGAACCTTGGCGAACCACAGCGTCAATCACATTCAATCACTTTCCAAGGGTTTCACTGCCACAACGTGGACGCAGCACCATGAACCAAGCACCATGGCACCTTGGCCTCTGAATCATCGTTGGGGCCTGTGGGAACTTGAAGAGTCCGCAAAAGCCAAAATTGTTCTCCTAGGCTGGGACGTCCAAAGCAACAAAACTGATGATAATTGATGCATAATTATTTATACAATATATCATATATATTCATATATATATATATATAAATAAACATTCAAAGCACTAAGCCCCAACGTCTAGCCTAATGCGGGCGTCCTAACTTCCCCATAGAAGCCACTTCGTTGATGGTAATGTCACAAATGCTCCCGTCGTCGGCACTTCCTGTCCGGAGCACACACTGAAATCTGACAGGTTCCTTCACTGTTCTGCATGACGTGGGCCATCATAAACGCAGGCGACGCTTGGAATTGTCTGGGTCAGAACGTAGAACCCTCGCAATACTGCCTCTGGAGGTTTGTCATGTCGAGTGTTTCAATTGTGGACACAAGTGTCAATAGTTCTGAAATGTCCTGTGTGGTTTCTTCATATGCTCTTCTTTTGTTTGACTATGGCGGGGGAAAGCCTAGTTGAAACAACACTACAGTACGTTATCTCCTTGCCCTGCCTGGGTGGTCGCTGCAATGGAGGCAGGGGGACGTGGGCGAGCCAGAAATTTGATGTCTCATGTTGCATACTCATTTCATCTCATTTCTGAAAGGGTGACCTACATATACATATAGCATTGAATACTTGTGAAATCCGAATCTGGCCCGCAACGGTAAATGTGCGCCTCCCGATGTGGATTTGACCTCCACAAACCGAACCTCCCCTTCTTGTCCTCACATTCATGCTAGGCTGCTAGGCTGGTTTGATTTGACACACCATGCAAAACCCACTCCATGTGTGATGATTGACTGGCACAAACTTGCCATGCAACTACTCTCCTGCTTCGGCCTTGCGCAGAAGCTCCACGACTTGAGCTTTGTCCACAACTCCTTTCTCCCCACAAAGGGAAGCGAAATCGCCACTCTTTCCTGACACGAGACTCTCGCGTTGTTACAAAATCCACTTTCCCTCTTTCAAGAGGAAAGGTTTGCTACCCTTTCTAAAACAGGTGTCCAACCTCTGAGGGTTAAAAATGATACCAAATGGAGGGATGCCAACGTCTCGCGGAATACATGTGTGAGAACACGGTCAGCTCGCAGCAAACCTCGGCCACGTGAACCGGGCCCAGCACAGTTGGCGTGACTCTGAGCAAGTGGCATGAAAAGAGCTGGAGCTGCTGCTGCTGTTGCTGTCGTGCTGCTGCCACTGGTGCCACTGCTGCTGCTTTCTGCTTTGCTGTGCTGCTACTGCTGCTGCTGCTGCTGCTGCATTGCTGGTTTGCTGCTGCTGCTGCTGGCTGCTTGTTTCTGCTCAAATCACTACCAAATTCTCCGCGGCGCAGGGTGGAGTCGAATGACATTTAAAACCAAATCTTAAACGACCGAAATCAAGCACAGGAGCTCGTGACCACCCCCAGTACATTGCTAAAGCAAGGCAACTCAGGTAGGGTAACCGCTACCTTTCGTGATATATATATATATATTAATATATATTATATATCTGCAAATGCCAACCCAGAACTTCCACAACACGGGGAGCCCTCGGGTCCCACACAACACACTTCAGCGGCAAAACCGGCACGGAATACAGGCACCCAGTCATGGAGAAGTAAGAACCCCTATGGCTATCGGCTATCGCTATCTGGAGAAGAATGAACAAAGGGCCTGGCAAATGGAAATGCAACGCATACTGTAATGTATATACATGTTTTAGCATATTGCCAAGGAACATTTACAGAACCTTGGGACCTTGGGAATCCCCAAAAATTACACTGAGGTGGTAGCATGTTACTCAAAAAAGGGTAGGTTGAGGTCCTAGGTCCTAGTTAGTATTCAAGCATGAGCACCATTCGGGTATTTCCAATCATCAACATCTTGAAGCCACTTCACCAACAAAGAGACAGGAGCCAAGAGTCGAATCAACAAGTCAAAGGGCAGCCCAAGTTCCTCCTAGAGCTGTCAACACATGAGTCGCACAAACGAAAAGATGTATTTTTGTAGGATGTGAAGAGCAAGTGGATCCCAAGCAGTTTGTCCTTGTCATTTAGCCATAAAACCTGCACAAGTGAATGAGCCGGACGAAACAATCTATGACTCTGTGACTCGTATGAAACCTAGTGAAAATCACACAGCAAAAATCAGCCAAGGCATTGCCTGATAGCCTTCACTTTTCAAGCAAAGCTGGGCGATCCTCTCTCCATTTCTTCCGACCGCCTCTTTATTGCCTTCCGAACGTTCTCCCTTAACCATCCAAATGGAGTTTTCAACAGATTCTCCTACCAATATTGTACAGTGGCAAAAGAAGCGCAAGAGTCAAGATATTGACCAAGAAAGTGATTGTCTCAGAATGTGGACCTTGATCCTGACCATCTCCCCCTCTGAGTGGGATCGATGTGCTCGAGAGCTTGATGTCAAAGGAACACACAGAAGGCTCGCCGACCTTTCCAGGTTTCTGGAGTTGGCATGATCGTGTGAGATGACTTGTGAAAACCGCTTGTCCATTAAAGTGCATAATATTTCACCATCCCTGCCTTGTCTGGGACAAAAGCCGGGAGGGTGCTGAAATTGAAATCCTTCGGGCGTGAACGGCTCAACTTGTCCAGGTCTCTGGGATCCTTAGCTGCCTTAGCCGCAAAGTACAGCGAACTTTGCAAAATCAGTGATGACGACACGCCTGCGCAATAGGCTGGAACCGAGGCACTCTGCGGTCAGATTCTGTCTGCATCTCCTGCATACGACATCCCACCTCGTCCACCTCACCCCAAATAGAGAGCGAAAGGGTAGATGCAGGTAGATCCCACTAGAAAGAGTCTGTGTACATGCAGGTCCACTGCAGGGAGTGGTGGGCAATCTCACAAACATTACTCAACGAAATCACTTCCAGTGTGTCATGACATGGAGTGCGGAGGCAGACTCACGTTACCCATGCCTGAGTGAAAGAGTTGCGCTAGGGTTCCATTGCAAGCCAAGCCCGTTTACAGCTTAGGGCCTTAGGCATACTGCGCATAGTGACACATATTGTATGTATACTGTATACTGTATATTACACATATAGAGAGAGACAGAGAGATGTGCGCATGATGCAATATGATGCACGCCATCAACTTCAATGAAGGTTGTCAAAAACAGTTTGATCGACACCTTTCACGAGGACAAACAGGAACCATCACAAGAGCAAAGCAGGTCCAAAGGCAGCACCCGGCACAACCTCAATCACCTTGTCATCCATGACAAAACAAGGAGGTGATGCATTGAACAAATTAAATTAAATGACTGTTGGGACGCATGAAGGACCAGACTCGAAACAAGCCCATGCACCACCTCAACATCAGTCAGAATAAGACATCCACAACAAACATAGGCAAACAATGTATATATATAATATATTGAATATTATTGAAATCATGTCGAGGTAATGTCAAAAACCCTATTACTCAAATGGAAGGGAATAACAGCAAGTTTTAGCAAATTTGTTTCCGCCCCTGAACAGTGGAAAATTATATGATAAAAGGTTTTCTTTCGCCCAGGGTGCTTTTTAGAGATCTGTTTACTTTTCGGTTGTTCTGCTGATGCTGTCCTTTAAAAATCCTTGCGTGACTCTCCTGAGGTTTGCTCAATTCATGGAACTCTGACCTGAACACTTTGTTCAAAAAAACATATTGAAACTCATCGATTTCATGGCCTCAAACAATTGAATCGAAGTCAAGGCCGCCACCCCATGTGTCAAGGAATGTCAAGGAAGTGCCCATTCGAGCTGGCAAAGCAGGCCGCACTTTGGTCAGCCGACCAGCTCGTCGTAGAGATGTGCAGTGCAAAGCCGCTTTTGGCCAGGGAGCTGCGGCGCGGAGCAGAAAGAACTGTGGGAAAAAGGAGAGAGAGAGAGCGCAAAACGGTGAGGTTGAGATGTGTAATTATATTGCGTAAATTAGAGTGAACATGTGAGATGCATCATAACATGCTTGCACGCCATTGAGCTTATTGTTGCACTCTTGTCAAACTTGTCAACAAGGTCCTTGCCCTTCACCTTCTGTTCACTTGCTCGATTTGTGATCTTCCCTGACATCTTCAGAGCTCAGGACCGCCAAAATTCATCTGGTGAATGTGCCGCATGGCCTTCATAATTGCTGCGACTCTCGGCAACGTAGTATGGCAGGTTTGGGGACAGCAGCGTTTCGTGCAATGTGTCCAGTTGGCTCTGCACCTGGCTGACCCATATGGCAAGGTCGACAAAAGGAGAGATGATGACAAAGTGACACGTAAATAATTGAGAATATTGTTTTTCTAACCCTTATTGGACAAGGAATGGCGGCCGGCCTCGGGTCCTTCAGGCGTCTGCTGGCCCGGCCTCCAACGATGACTCATGATGTTGATAAATTTTGGAATCCATCTGCTGCGGTGGCATCTGCTGTCATTGTCAAAAAAGTTGAAAGCCTCTAAGTCTTACCTTGCCCTACTCCAACAGCACTAAGTTTCTGGCTGCTTTTTGCTCTTTTGTCGCTGCCGCCTGTAGTTCAGCCTGCGCACGAGGGGCTGAATTCAGCAACGTTCTGAACTTGAGGCAGGGAGTCACCGATGGGCGGACAAGCACCAGTTCCAGCGAAGTGCTGGCAAGCTGCGCATACTCCGCATGCTCCAGCAAGTCCTCCACGGCTGAAATGTCACCTTCATCTGGATCAGGTTCATCTGTCAAGTCATCTACACCACTTCCCCAGGATTCGTAGTAGTCTTCATCCTGCGTGCAGTCCAAAAAGGCAAGTATACTGAGAGCAATCTACGTGCTCGCAGCCTCACTGCACGGTCCTCTAAGTCCTTGAATTCCTCTTGAAGTGTCAAAAACCTGACTGAGGACAACTCTGCACTATAATTGCCCCGAATGGAGTTTGGATGAGTTTGGCGTGCATATGGTCGAAAAAAATCAAGAAATATAAGGAGCCGTTGAAGGAGTATACACGCGGTGAACAGGGCCAAGATTGTCCAAGTGGGGCTTGACTCCAAGTGGCTTTTCAAGCTGCTCCATGGGAACGACCATGTCCTCCTCAAACTGACTAGTCACCGGCGCCACGGCATGCGGGCTCTGATCCTTCGGACTGCACAACGCGGCATCCCGACTTGCAATATTGAGCGCAAACCCTGTTGAGCACAAACCAAGGGCGTTTTTTGTTGCTGTTCGTTTTGTCCTTGTAGCCTCGTTCATCTGAACTGGAGCCTCTGCAGAAATCGATCATGTGACTACAGTGGGGCCCTTCGGGACCCTCAAACTCAAACATTTGTTGCACATGATGGTGTTCCATGTCAAATATCCGGCGTGATCGGTGCAACTTCGACAACTTTGTCGCAAATCTCTCAACAAATAAAACAAACATGCCACATACCCCTGCTGGATCACACGCCTGTTTCAGCTTTAGTCGCTTGAATCGCCATCCGTAGCTGGCCCACGAAGGTTCTTGCTTTGTCTGTGAACCCGTAGTCGCCTTGTGTGCACGCGCGCGAAAAAAAGAATCAAAATGAATCAAAGGCGTCTGACCTGAAAATAGATTCCCTACGAAGGCATCTGCCAGCGTGAAATTTTCAAAGCATACCTGCCCAAAACATCCCAAAACGCCCCCAAACAGTCTTACTCTGATTGTTCAGCCAACGTGGCTTTTCCGAAACTGTGCTTGATCTTCAGGTGAAAGCTTCTTCACTGCAATCCACAGCAACGCCTAAACACTTGCAAACCATCACAAACAAGGAACGCATTCACTCCTCAACTCCTACAAACGCTTCCAGGACAACCAACGGTGGGCCTTTGCGAGTTTTTCGCTGATGTTGTTCATCACCAGCTGACCCGGCAGGAAGGCCAGGAACAACTTTCCATCCTCAGGGATGACAACAAACGACCTTGGCCAAGAGAACCTTAAAATATATCCGCAAATCCTTCTGAATTTCCCTCCCTCACCTTGTGGCCCACGAAAAAAGGTTCTGCAGACAGGGCCTTGATCCTCGCCAGGAGTCAAACGAGCATGAAAAACTCGTTGGGTCGAATCTAAGATTTGAAAGGGTTGTGTGTGTGTGACATCCTTGGAGTCACACGGAATCCGTTGAATTTGGGTCTGTTTCCGGAATTTTTCCTGTTCTTGAAGCTTAATAGATAGTAGGGGGCGCGAGCAGCCCATCCAGTCTTGCACCAACGAAGGCACTGGATGCGCGCTGATGATATCGATTTGGGACGCCAAATCGACGTACCTGCTCTGAACACATTGACTCCAATGGTCCTTCCTCGCTCAAGCTGTTTCCAGGTTCATCAAGGAACAACTGCAAATCAACCTGTTCCTGATCCCTCATAGACGTTGGTGCGCTCAAACGTCTACGCCTACGCCTACTCCTACCCCTGCCACGCTCTTCTTCCTTTGGCGTCGGAAGGATGACCGGAGGAGGCTTGGCTGGGGTGCGGAAGCGTTCCCTGCATTCGTTGGATTAATTATGACTCACTGAATTGATGTCTCGCACATGAATCAACTGACACGACAGCTGCCGAGCTTACGGATTCAATGCTGCAGAACTTACGGAGAATAAACCCCAACCCTCCCCCTCCCCTCTTTCCTTCTTGCGTTTTCTTCGTTTGTTAGGTGTTTCTTCAGGTTTTTTAGGTTGTTTTTGAGGCTCGTTTCCCTGCCCCTCGGCTTTTAGTCAAGGGCTAAGTAGTCAAGTGCTAAGTAGTCACCTTTTCCGCTACTCCTATCTTTTATCGTTTTGTTCTTTCTGTCTTTCTTTCTTTTCTAAGGTCTTTCTTTTCTAAGGTTTTTTAGGTTCCTACTGAGGTTTTGATCCGCAATTTGCCGCTCGTGCGGCAGACCTGCAAACCCTTACACCTACCTTTTTCTCCTGCCCTCTTCGTTTCCCGTTTCTTTTTGCCTTATTTTCTTTTTCTAAGGCTTGTTAGGTGAATATTCAGGTTGAGCAAGGGAGCGCCGCGAAGCGGCCTACTGTTTGCGTCACACTCCGTATCTAAGAGCCTTTTTCCACAAGCACTCGCAGGGGGATGGAAGAGGACATGTGAGGTTCCATCCAACGAAGCTGATCACATGTAGGATATGGGCAAGGACGCTTGCCGACGTACCTGCGACAGTGACACTACCCCAATCTTCCTGTTGTTCCTTGGTTTCATGGTCTTTGCATGCTATACTTACATAGTCTGGTTTTTTATAACATAGAATTAACATGAATTAACCAAATTATCATGAAAGTATTAAATAATTATAACTAGATATAACTAGTTAGCCAGAGTCAACAAGCCACTTTTTGAGGTCATATGGTAAAGAAAATAAGCGTTGGAAAGGAAAAATAGTTAACAGCTGCTTGATTTTAGCTGGTGGCTCTTATTTACATCGAATAAAAGTCACATGGTGTTGAAAAATGTCTCTTTTGATGGAAATGCCACATGGCAAGCCTATTAACTGTTCATATCAAAAAGTTCCAATAACCTATACCAACCCATCCTACATGAACACTTTGCTGGGCTGAAATGTCAAGCCAGGCGACTGTTGCATTGCCACTTTTCATGCATTCACTGGCTTGATGAAATGCCATGGAGCCAATTTTGGTGCTTTGAAATACAAAACCAGCAAGCGCATGGACTCTGCTTAGGATCCTTTTCTCCAGCATTTGGGAATAGATTGGGTAAGGCAAAAGCACTTTGGCTTCAGCTCTGCTTTGTGGCAAATCACGGGCACAATGATGTCTGCTGTGGGTACAAGCCCCAAATGGTCCAGCACTTGGCAAATTGCACATTGCTTGTGTGGCAGCCATTCTTTGACCAGCCAAGACTTCACCAAGGTAGTGGCAACATCACGCAATAGGAAATGCAATTGGATTTCTGCAATCCCATGGACTCACCTGCCTGGTAAATGACAGTGTCATCCTTGAAGCAACTCATATGGTTCACTTTGGCACACTGGCTGCTCTTGGCCTCCCCAATTGGCTCACCAATCAGATTGGATAAAGTTTGCAAACTTTTCTTGGGAGCTGAGATGGGGTCAACCAAAAGCACACCATCTTTGAACAACTGTGGCTGGTCCAAGTTGCAGATCTCCTTGGCAAGAACTTGCTCCAAGGTCCAAGAGATTGGTTTCAAATTTCTTCTTGTTTTGCAAACTAGTGGCCAATTGGCCGATTGGCTTGTGCTTTCTTTCATTGGCAAAGCATGATGGGGGGAAGCCAAATCTTTGCTGTGTATCTGGCATATGGAGCGGCCAATGCCATTTCTTTATCAATGACACTTCCGGGAAGGCAGCCTGGAAGCACTGCATGGCCAGCTCTATGGATGGCAACAAAGTGCCTTTGCTGATGGTGCCAGCAAGGTTTCCATCATGGACCTGGTCAATGATGAGATGCCATGGCCAGCAAAGCCTGGCAAGCTGGAGCTTGGAGGCCATTGGGCAATGCCACATTGTAAACAAACTGGCGCACAATTGGGTATATGGCTAAACACTCTGAAGCTTGGACTGAAACCTTTTGATTGTTTTTGTGGCTTGTCTTCTTCTTGGAGAAATAGGTTCCAACATGCTTGCACTTCCAGGCTCTTGGGAAAACACAAAGCAGTAAGTCTCCAAGCCAGACCACACTTGGAAACCTTCTTCCATGGCACACAGAAACTATAACACAATGGATGCAGTTCCCTGCAATATGCCATGCATGTAATCATGCGCAAACTGGCTGCGTGGCCTCAATTGACCCATGGGTTTCAAGTCTGGGTCGAGCAGCAATGCCTTAATTGGAGCTGAGGTTCCAGCCTGTGGCCTGCTGCCACATGTCAAATTCTGCTTTGGTACACTTGATCTTTTTGGCATCTAATTTTGCATATGACTGGAGAACCTCTGCATTAGTGGTCAACACCAACTGGCTGTGCTTTTTGATGTTGCAGTGCATCTAGTCCTCTGTAGTGATAGTGCCACTGCCTCGAACATTGGCGCACAAAAAGCAAAAATTCTGGCCACTGTCACCTTTGCTGCTCCAAACGTGCTTCTGGGCTGCTTGCGTCATGGGCTGCACCATCAGCTAACAGCATGGAGAAGGTGAAGCGGAGCCTGATGTCTTGGCCTTGTGGGCCTTTCAACAAAGAGCCAGTGGGTGGGTGAATCAACTCATGGCAAAAAATGCTTCTAAGCAGAGCAGTGGTGATTTGGCCTGATCTGATCAAGTCTATGGTGAGCCAACTGTCTGTGGAATGGAGGCGCTGGCCAAATTGGAGGAAACTGGCATACCATGCCCAGCTCTTCCTCTCTGCCCTGCCCAACACATTTCCAGGCACCAACTCGTCCAAGTAGACCATGGCTTGCTGGTCGAAGATGGGTTTTGATTGCGCTTGCTGGCCAAGAGCTGGTGGAAGCCACCACCTCTGAAGAACAAGGCTTGCAAGTATGTCAAGAAGTTGGTGGCAGGCAAGGTGATTGGCTCCGCTTCACTGTTCTGGACACTGATCTCTTGGATCACAGGACCCATGGCACCTCCATCACACTGGTTCAAAAGGAACCTTCTGGCGTCTCTTTGCTCTTTTGGAGGGCTGTAATCAGGTAAGCCGGTCTTCTTGGCTTCTGCAATCATAGCATGCAAGCTGGTTTGGCTATGGTGTGGCGAATTGGCCTACTGTTGGAGTTTGGCCAGCTTCTGAGGCCTGGAAGAGGAAGCAGCCATGGTTACAGAAGAGCAAATAAAAGAGTGTGAAAGTAAGGGTGTTGTCCTTCTATCAGTTAAGGGTGCTGCCCTTCTTGCAAGAAAAAGGTGGATGACCACGTATATATACATATACCTTGCACATGCTTGCGCATTGCATATATTGGAAGTTGCGCTGAAGGATGCGCACTCTGGAACTTTGCAAGAGCCAAACAGAAAAGGTTGCTACAATTACAAAGCCAAAAGCATTGGTGGACATACTATGACGTAATGCCAGAAATGATCAGGATGAAGTGCCAGAAAGGCCAGTGCACATAGACATTTGTTGTTGGGTCTGTGTACATGGTCTGCTTAAAAGCTGGTGTCTGGTGTCTGCCACTGGCACTTCCTCTGATTGGAGAGCACTGGTGCCTGCCAGTGGCACTTCTTCTGATTGGAAAGCACTCTCACTGGAACTCTTTTGGCCATGGTGCATTTTGGAAAGGCCTACCAGTCTATTCCCAATATTGCTCCATGGATCCCTTCGACTCATAGTTAGAGTTGAGCTGGCACTAGCCATTTCTTGGTCATCTTCCTTGGTCCTGCTCTTGGTACCAGTGGTACTCATGGGCTCTGTACGATAGATCATTCTATTGGACTCAAAGTCCCTTGCTCTGCTATCATGGGCTTCCATGAGGAAGGTTTCAACTTCCTCCATGCACATTTGGGATACAGCTCTTTGTATGGAGCCCATGGCCAAGACACTATGAGAATGCGGATAGTGATAACACTAAGTACAAATCAGTACAAAGACAAATGAGTGATAACACTAAGTACAAATCAGTACAAAGACAAATGTATTTGTCTATATTTATGAAAGTGTATTAACTT